TTTACAGTGGATTTTCTTCAAAATTGGTATATACGTTAGACATCATATGACCTTGATGCACATCATTTTGTTTTTCAGATAAGATTCAAAATGGTCGACTGGTGGCCATTTTGTTTTATTGAATGTGGTTCTAGTGCCATATCTCTGACTTGCTTTGACTGATTATGTTCAAATTTTAAATATTGATTATAGATCATGTCATAGTAATACAGACATATTGGTTTGACGATCCTATTCAAAATTGCCGAATGGTGGTCATTTTTGTGCTAAAAAATCATCAAATATCAAGCATTTTTGGCATTTATGGATGGATTTTGTTCAAACTTGATAAATGCATTAGACATTACGGGTTCCTGATGCACATCATTTTATTTTTCAGATTGGATTCAAAATGGCTGACTGGTGGCCATTTTGTTTTAATGGTTGGGCTTCTAGAGCCATATCTCTTAAATGCTTTGACTGATTATATTCAAATTTTATATATTTGTTATACATCATGATATATATATATATATTCAAAATGGCTGATTTTGAATGCTGTCCTAGAGTAATATCTCTCAATATGGACAAGTACTTGATGATCAGATACAAATGTCAATCATTTTAATGTTAAAAAATCATATTCCTGACATGGTTATATTCCAGCTATATTACTATAAAAAAAAACTATATATCTTAAATTCGATAACTAACGGGGGCTGTGCCATGCATGGCTTGTAATATTATGCTGTGCACTTACCATGTGTATACATTAATTTCAGCTTCGAACAATCTTGTCAAATATATTTCGATATGCAAATTTCTAATGGTTAAATGCAAAGTTATAATAACAAACACCACTTCCAAGAGATATTGAAATGTTCAGTAGACAGTCTATAAGGAGATAGCGGTTGTCATGGTCAGTTTATTTCGGCACCGGCTTTTAAAAGTGTCCTGGGACGAGCCAAATATGGATAGTTCTTGTTTCAACTCCGTGAATATTAAATATTCATGTAACCACACTTCTCCACTTATATCTCTAGAACCACTTAATATCAACCGTCTTCTTGATTAATATAATAGCCATCATCTATATATTACCCATGACTACATCGCCCTCTGCATGTGAGAGTTCTTTATCAACCTTTCTTGATTTTTTGCACGATCGATTCAATGCTACAACAGTTGTGTAAGCTTTTATTTTTAAAATAGTTTTCATACTGCATAATCTATAATACTAGTAATCGACAACCTGTAACCTAATCTGCAACTTGACCTGTAACCTGCGTTTTGATGCCACAGTTCCGTGTATCCAAGGGTTAATTATTGTTTAGGTCAATTTCTCTATCGATTGCACCGCTGATTCTATAAATATAACATAGTAAATTCATATTCATAATTCGTTGTTTGATGTTATGATATTCTTTATACGAAGAAAATATGTCTGTCAAAACCGACATTCGGGATCGGTTACGTGGGTGTCTGCATTTCCGGTTTTTGACCTTTCTATCATAATGACAGAATGTCATAGGTCATAGCTCGATGACCACTGCTCTGTCGGCAAGCTCTGCCTTTTTTGCGCGATTTTTCGCATCACACCTCTTGATGATGGGTCATGGTCAACACCCGGAAGTCAACACCCGGAAGTCAACAACCTCGCATTGCTCACGCAATCGAATGCGATCGACTGTCATCGAGAGCCCAATCGTTATAAGTTCTGCATCCGTCATGCCACAGACAGAGAGACTGCTGTCTTGTCATCACGTCCTAATTTGTAGGTCAGTTTTTTTTTAAATCTGCAAATTTTGCTAATAATGTACTCAATTCTCACGCACTGTGACTTGTATGCTTTGATTAATGCGAAGTCAGCTTGAAAGATAGCGCGCAGTGGCGCAAGGGCAATTTTACAGCTCCATAAAATATTCACTACCGTATTACATTTACGACTCAACCCTAACCTTATGAATGAATTGCATAATATGATATATAATGTACTACATGTTTTCCACCGTAGAGGGTGGGTAGGAGGGCAACAGAGGGAAAGAACAACATATTAAGAAAAAATATAGCCTTCCCCTATTTAGCCCGCACCCTTGTAGGAAGCTTTGATAGGTGCATAATACCATGGTAAATGGACCAAACACTGATAAATGCGCTACATAACATGATGAATGCACCACATCATATAATAAATGCACTACATGACATGATGAATGCACCACATAATGAATGCACAAGATAACACTGTAAATGCACCACACACTGATAAATGCGCTACATAACACGGTGAACGCAAAATACAACATGGTAAATGTACCACATCATATAATACATGCACTAAATGACATGATGAATGTACAGCATAACATGGTGAAAGCACAACATAACACGGGGAATGCATTACATAACATGAATTCACCACATAATAAATGCACAACATAACATGGTGACCGCACAACATCACACTGTAAATGCACCACCCACTGATAAATGCAGTACATAACATGGTAAATGCACCACATAATATGGCCAATGCACTATATGATATGACGAATGTACCGCATAATATAGCATTGTACTATAATTTCACAAGTTTTGCACACGTTGTGCCAAAGAGAGACTGTTGTCATGTCAGGTACAACTTTTAGGTCGATTAGTTTGAATCTGGAAATTTTACAGTAATGTACCAAATTCTTTTGCATAAATGGTCGCAGTTTATGAACATCGATTACCATTCCCTTCAACCTATTACGGCTGAGAATCATAGTTCCATTGCAATATCTATGCGATGCATTGGTAACATAATTAATCATTTTATAAACAAAGATGGAACTGCATAGCATAAAGATGGAACTGCATAACATAAAGATGGAACTGCATAGCATAAAGATGGAACTGCATAGCATAAAGATGGAACTGCATAGCATAAAGATGGAACTGCATAGCATAAAGATGGAACTGCATAGCATAAAGATGGAACTGCATAACATAAAGATGGAACTGCATAGCATAAAGATGGAACTGCATAGCATAAAGATGGAACTGCATAACATAAAGATGGAACTGCATAACATAAAGATGGAACTGCATAACATAAAGATGGAACTGCATAGCATAAAGATGGAACTGCATAACATAAAGATGGAACTGCATAGCATAAAGATGGAACTGCATAACATAAAGATGGAACTGCATAGCATAAAGATGGAACTGCATAACATAAAGATGGAACTGCATAACATAAAGATGGAACTGCATAACTTAACAATGAGATTGCATAAGATGGGATTAACTGCATAACACAGAAGGAACATAATGTGAAGACGGAGCTACATAACATAAATACGGAACCGTATAAAATAATAATATTTAACTATGTAATCAAAAATTAAAAAATCCCAGTGGTATATTCAAAAATACTTCCATGATCTCATCTCATATACAAATTAACACGAATATGGCACATTTATATATATATATATATATATGCTGATTCTTTAGCTTTATCGATGTAGATGCTGTGTACTTCCGTTTTAGTATTGCCATTCAATGCAGATGGTTTCAAATCTCGTTCGGCTATTCAAATACTAGTAGTTTCCCCTCTGATAAGCTGTAATTGTAGAAGAGGTCACGGGTTTACAGTAAACTGGATAGATATAACGCGAGTGTTGACTGCATTGCAATATCAACGGCTTTATTATTGTTTACTCTGTCTTTGGTCTATTTTGGCAGATACAGCGTGTATTAAAACATAGCGACCTCTATGTACAGATGTGCATGTTTTTTCCAATATTTTTTTTCACTTGTAGAGCTAACCCATACAAGATTTCAAAGCCATGCATGTGAGCATACAGACAAGTACTTGTAATTATAATATGCAGTCGGGCTCCGTTTCGTATTTTTTAGGGCCAGTATCTTCAAATTAATTTTACCGGGTATATTTTTTTGCATTAGTTCAAGTAGATAATGTGTTTCTTTATGATTGTATACAGTGACTGCTTAATATTTTTGCTCAGTTTCTCAATGTCAATTCTGATATAATGTTATATCTTAATTTGAACATGTATTTTATTTAGTAATATATACATATAGAGCGTTTAATCATTAGTGTTTCATGCAACACACGATCCTTTATTCCGCCCTCGTACGGCAAGACTGAATTAATAACATTAGACAATCGCTAGGTGGAGATAATATCTCAACACTACGATAAACACTTTACCTTTTCCGACATTGTGGAATTCTTTAATTTTTTGAAAGAAAATAATAAAATTACCCCATTTCGGCTAAAACTTTTTGAAATGTGCTAGGAAAAAAATATGATTGAATGTATTGCATATTGAAACCAGTAATTTGTATATTATTTTTTGATCACATGTGAACATTTGAAAAAGTAGAGTTTTCACTATTCTCATTTTTTCATAGTTAACATCTTGAGATATATATACAATATCGTTTGATATTATATAATAGACATGTTTTTTATGCTCCCGTCACATTTTGGTACTTATTGATATCGTGAATCAAACGGCGGACCATTCCAACGGACCATTTTAGGGCGGGCTACAATATTTCATTGTCAAGTCATATATATTTAGTATTTAAGCCATAAGATGACTAGATACGACCTAAAAGCAGAAAGATTTGACAGCGTACGTACTCGAATAAATGACAGATTTGATCTTGTACGCGGACAAAATGGCAGTTTTGATAAAACACTCGGACGCAATGGCTGATTTGAAGACATACTCAAACTAAATGGTAGAGTTGATGACATACTCAAACTAAATGGTAGAGTTGATGACATACTCTAAAGGTTCATGTCACTTATTTCAGAATGTTTCACTAATGTAAACAACATGAATGCCCGCGAATACAGTTGGGGACTGCATTTCTCACGTTTCATTGATAAACCATAACATTTAAAAAAAAGAGATATGTAATTTGGCGCGGAATTCTCGTTATCTGCATATATTTGTATGTTCGTAACTGAATCTGACTTTTACTTTACCATTTTAGCCATGGTAGAATTCAAAGAAAACTCCACTGGTTACGACGTCAACTACACAGCGCCACCTACAGGCTACCCGGGACCGATTATTTCAATGCCTGGAGTTGTTGTCTTAGCAACGGCAAGTGTCGCTGTTTCCTTGATTAATATTCTGGTGATCACGGCTGTTGTAGTCAACAGGAACTTGCATTCGGCTTCGAACTATTTTTATGCCAGCCTAACAATAGCGGGTGTTTTTATTGGGTTAATTACTATTCCAATAAACACGTGGTTATTTGCGACATTTCCGGTCAGTCAGACGTATTGGACGTGCACAGGCATGACGTTTATGCAAATGGTCGGACTGATGAGCTTTGTCCTTAATATGCTTGTTACGTCATTCGACAAGTACTACCAACTGGTCCACCCTTTCAGCTACCAGAAAGTTATGACGTCTCGGAAAGCCGTGATCACGTCATCAGTCACGTGGGGCATAGCGCTTTTGTACAGCTCTGCTCCTCTTCTTGGATGGAACAACGTCGCCCTCAATCGGCAAACATCCGGGTGCTTGTTCCGTTACGTGGCAACCTTTGAATATATTTGTTTAACGCACTACGGTATTGTCGTCCCGTGCACCGTCGCCATTGTCTATTTCAACTCAAAGATTATATGCGTGGCAAAACAGGAAGCCAGAAAGATTCGCGCTCAGAAAGTGTCTGTGACTCGACGAAATGATTTTCGAACCGGACGAAAAAGCACGGTGGCGCTGTTGATCATGTTGGGAATGTTACTGGTCGGGTGGTTACCATTTCTTGTGGTAGTACAGGTATCGGCGATGTGTCAACATTGTGTAACTGATAGCTCCATCTCAGGACTCGCATTACTGGCTCTCGCGAGTACGGCCATTGGACCGATGACGTACGGACTTCGTCAGGAAGATTATAGAAAAACTATGGAACAAATTCTAATTAAGCTTTTTTGTGGGTGGTATTGTAGGACGCCCCCAATAGGTCAAAGAACCCCATCTAATGTATAGTAGGTTGATTTCTAGTTCAGGATATTTACCGAAATTACAGAATATTCAGGCTGAAAAAATAAGCTCTCGAAATTGTGACACCAACAGAACAATGCTTTGGAAATCCACACATTTCGAGTGTTCCGAACAAAGCATTTAGCATCTTATGGAATCTGACACTGACAATGCCAACCTTGACCTGAAGAATACTAGTACTTATACTGCTTGTATTGCCCATTATTGACGAAAAGTTTAATATATATTACGTGAACTCCACCTGTATGTTTAGCGATTTAGCTAAATAAAGACAACATTTACATTTGTGAATCTGAATGACGTCAGTGGTGAAAGCGTCACGTAATCACGGGACCCCCAGTGTTTCATACTCTTTGATATTTAATTATTTATACATTTACGACAGTGAGCATCAGAAATATAAACAAATAAATACGCTTCAATTTCGCATCTTCATATCACGTTTTATGGTTGGCATCTAAGTGGACTGATGCCCATGGAACATATTAAGAGCCAGTGTGTGTGGCTTGAAGGCTAGACCTTGGTTCAGCAGAAATTTGTGTTGCTTGCGAAAGTAGTAACAAGTTTGTTTACTTTTTTTGTCGTGACAGTTTTTTTTTTACAGAGATAACCTCCATTTTCAATCACACAACCTGATAAAGATTGACAACAATCCAATATGTTTACACTGCGTGAATCTGACTCGAGACTGTTTATCAGATGATGTGATTGAAAGAGCTAATTTCCATGAAAAAGTAAACGAATGGCTTACTTCCTCGATGAGCCGTACTAGTTCGTGTTTGGGCATCGGTTTTCCGAGGCGTGTGACCTTATGTATGTCAAATAAAAATAAAGTTGATGATACAAATATAAAGTATGTTGTTTAATCGATTAGGTATGGCGTTCATGCAAGAATTGATTAATTCGTAACATATCATTAAACATATTGATTACGCCTGACACGAATGGCCGCCGTAATCTCGCTGAGAGCGAGAAATCCACTACACTTGTTATGCTTCTCAAACAGTGTTCCATTTTTGTTCGTCATCATTTCCACTCTTCTCCAGGCTAATGTAACCATGGTAATTAGAACATTGAACACGATGACGAATGAAAATGGGACACTCATTTTGTGGCGGAAAAAAGTCACGTGGTTCTCCTTCTCACAACGAGATCTCGCCAGCCAGTTAGTAAAAAGATGATAACATTTCTATAACTTTTACATTACGATTTTGTCTCATACTGTTAAAAATTACGGTTACAAATTATATGTAGAATATAAGCTGATGATTATGCTTTCATCAATGAGTTTCTTCCTGAAAATGTTGAAAAGTCGAGAAGTTGAGTACTTGTGTCTAAATCAATAATTATGCAAGACAATTAGAAACATTATTATGCATTGGGTATGCATTAGGTCGAATGTTCACAAAAATACGCAAGAAACTCTGCGTCGTGACCCCGATAAGCAGCCAATCCGTGTGCGACTGTGTGCGTGCTGACCCCTGAACTCTGCATCGTGACCTCGATAAGCAGCCCATCCTGGTGTGGATAACAAACGTTCCCGTAAAACGAATCAGAATAATCCACAAATATTTCATGAGAACCAGCGTTGTTAATAACTAATTTAGTAATTTCGTTGAGTTATATGATTATTGGTTACCTGTAACCCGGTTATTCATCTAAGAAATTTTCACGAGATCATTAGTACTGAACTTTCGCACAGAAACTCAGGACAAGAAAGGACTACGTGTTGAGCTACTCGTCTTTGGTTATTTCACGAAATTATAAAAGGAGGTTACTAGAGCACAAAAACAAAAACAACAGCCAAGTTTTCAGTCAACGAAATACAGGAATCTTCCCTATTTTATTATGCATACGCGTGAACGTCTTACACTATCACAGGAATTTACAGCCTAACACTACGGTGCTATTTTAATCGAAATTAAAGAAGACGGTTCCGAATAACCTCGTTCAAGAAAGAGCCACGAGACTTGTTTTTATTTTCCAAATAATGTTTTATTTTCTGCCGCCATCACGTTCAAATATCACGGTTACACCAGTCAACAGCACAGTGGATATGATGACTGTAGAAAATAAAAACGCTACAGCAACGGAAACACAGACGTGCAGATTTGCCGGTTAGAACGTTCGATAAAAGCAGTCAGATCTGTTGCAAAATGTGCACGTGACACGTCTGTTTAGACAAAACTCAATCTGACTAAATGCTGCGCCTTTGTAGTTTAGTAACATTGAGGTCTTGGGTACATGTTTCGCAGGGCAGCTGGAAGACGTACACCACTTTCATGACGACGGGGATTGGAGATGCGCAAATAGTGGGATTTGTTTATAACTTGAATGTAGTTGTCACACGCAACGTAATATTACCGTAATTGGTATAGTACAGGTGTGATGGTTCAAATACCAAAATGGCAACAGTAACAAAAAGACTTCCCTGGCAGCGATGATAACATACGAACACGGAGCCAACAGATGAGGTTTCAACTGGTACTGGTATTATTATACTCTGCAAACATCAAGTACAATAACGAGGTAAAACTTCACTACTCCAATAACTAGATATTTAAACTCCAATACAATTCAACGAGATCTCCGATCTGATCTCAGTGCTGAACAACTCCTCTATATATATATATACCCATACTGTCTATAAATAGACCATTACATCAGCATACATAACGAGTCTGGAACTTACTACAGATTTCTAGAATGTTCCATTACCTTCTATTGCCTCCTAAAGTGTTCTATTACCTATTCAACCAGTTCCTAAAAAAAATATAGAATATTCCACCCAGACACAGTACGGTTCTAGAACATTCTCAGTGACACGGAAGTGGTAAATAAGTCGTATACGACAGTAGTTATGCTGTAGACCATAATCTGAAAAGACTGGGAACTTTCCTTGTACGGGCAGACATTTGAGATGGACATTTCCATGATACTTTATACGATGCGAGTGCACACACGACTGTGACTCCTGAAATCAGACGTCTGGAAAACAGTGTGTTCGATAATTACATCGATGTCTTCATTGCAAGCAGCAACTGAAATGTGGAACTTAAAAAAACATAATTAACGCATTTCTGTCAATGGAAATGAGAGCATGCATTTCTTCCCACCGCTTGGTAATCGAATATATAATTGTGGCCGGTACGCACACCATACGGTTATCTAAACAATTCCGAGTGAAAGATGAATGAAATCAATCAATTGCCGACTGTTTGAAATGTTAAGTAATTGGCTTTAAATATTGGATTCATTGATGCTTTACTATGGCAACCAAACAAATATGCCCCTTCGTTTTGTTTCCATATTGTTAAATTCACCAAACGCTCTATACGTACCTAAATATTGATCAGTTCAACAATCCCGTATCAATATGGCTCTAAACAGTATATTGATATGTCAATTATGTGCCTTGCTGCTGCTTTGGGTATGTGTGTATGATAAATAAATATACAAGCCGGTAGGCTGGTTGGCGATCCGCTCCGCTCAAAAAACAAGCAATATGTTTTCGGCTGTTGCCATGGTAGGACATGGACTTGAAGCTAACGTCGGTTTATAACTAAAACGGGCACCGTATACAAAGTTCGTAAAAAAACACTCAGTCTTTAGAAGTCTATTTTATTACTAGGACGTATTCTGCTGTTAAATTTATCATTTCCAACCGTTTTGCGATAGTATTTTCTAGATTGCAGGCAGCATTTACAGTTCATTCAAAGTTGCGTTGGGATTACGTTGATACAGTGTAACAGTGTCGTAATAAATTTGGGGCGAAAGTATTCCAATTAGTGACGGTATGACCTGCCTGTCAAGTATGAGCAAAATCAGCCAAGCGCGAAGCTATCCCCAAAACAGTTTTTTTTTGGCTGTTGCTATGGCAACGGTGGGCCACAATTTTTTCCTAATAACTAGGTTGAAGGTGTGACTTACCTGCCAAGTTTGAGCGAAATTGGCCAAGCCAAAAAAATCACAGAAGAAATAATACGTGAAAACACTGGAAATCACACAGACACACAAAGCCACAAAAAAGCGATTATAAGGGCAATCCTAGCGGAGCGGATCACCAATAGTTAGTAATCAACACATGTAAGTAGAGAAGCAAATACTAGCGTTTGCTCCATGTCACTGGAATTGGATAATGATATCAAAAAAAAAACAAATTCTATATTTAGAAGTCAGTTTTCACACGACAACGATTTGGTTGGGTATAATACCAAGGTAAGTTTGAATCAACATTATATTCCAGACACACACTTTAAATAAGAAGAGTCTCAAATTGTCACAACCTGCTTATCGCAATTGAGATGGCCACCCACGGAACTCACATTGGACAGGGTTTTTTTTTTACTGCTAGAATGGGGCAGACAAGACAATATTACTGGAAATAAAATACACATATACTAAAATATCGAGCTAAAGCTCCTGGCTTTAATACCTCTACAAATAATTACAAGAAATAAAGCACAGAAAAATACAATGAATAGAGTCACTAAAATAGGGGATTGCTTAGGGAAGTGTGCATTGGTGATAACTCACAGTTTCAGGATGTAATAATGGACGACAGCCAATGGCGTCTGCAACACAACAAAGAAATACAGGATTCTTGCTTGCAGAGGAACGCTGGTATTCTGGAGGGCAACACTGGAAGCAGGAGATCGCAGAGCAGTTCATACAAGTCTCACGGAACGATGGTTGTAGCCTGTATTACTTGTCATACAATATCGTAGCAGCATACACTGGATACCAAGTTGAAATGATGGACTCCAACTGTCCTGAGTCTGTCCAATTTATAGACATGATTTAGTGTCACCACCTGGGTTCCCACATCAGCCAATCAGAATGTGATCTTGCTAGTAGCTGTGTCACGTAGGCAACTCAGTGGATCATAAACATCTTTTGTTATTCAAATAACAGCACACCTGGTAGATTCCTATTCTCCTTCCAAAGTTGAAAACAAGTATGACCTGTCAATCACCTTAAGGCCT